CAGGAGGTGGAGGCTGAGCTCAGCAGATAGTAATTTGCTCTGTGGCTTGGGCAAGTCTCCTGCCCTTTCTTAGTCTATTTCCCCTCTTCAGTAAGGACTTCCCTTTCTTGAGCACCTGCCCATTTCACACCACATTGTCTCACGAGGCGTTCCTGCTCTACAGATCAGGAAACTGAGGCACAGAGAGTGGATGTTCTTTTAGGAAGCAGTGATAACCAGAGACTGGAGCCACCTTGTCCATCCCACTGTCCTCCAGCCTCAGCTTCTTTCCAGCCCTAGCGCTCCCTAGCTGCTGCCTCTTCCCTGCCTCCCTTAAGTCAGAGACTGAGCTGTTGCTCCAAGGTCACTGGCTTGGCCTGGGAGGAGCTCAGACTGGAACCCAGGCCCCTTGGCTTCTGGCCTCCCTCATGCTGGCCAGCAGGCTGGGCCTGTTCCCTGGGTGAGTCATGCCCCTGGACTTTGGCCTCCTTGTCAGGCTCTGTGGCCTGAAGTTTGGAGAGGGGGCCTTTGTTAAGAAGAGGGACTCCCTCCCCTGGCAGCAGTGGGGGCTCTGAAGCCATCCTCCCATCTTTACTAAGTCCTAGACCCCACGGACCTGGCGACAGCAATCTCTGCCTGGCCTCTCCTGCACTGATCTCTAAGAGTCTTGTAGGAACGGCTCCTCAGGCCTCAGTGACAGCTCTCCTTCCACCACCCATTCCGTCCCTCCCTGGGTAACAGCTACATTCAGTTAGCAATGGGCGGGTGGGGGCAGCTGGGGGAAATGGCATTTCCAGGTCCTCCTTGTGCCCAGTTTACTCCCTTCCCAGCACTGTCTCCCCCAGCACCTGGCCACTGGGTTACTCAGGAGGGAGGCCATGGCGCCTCCCTTCCTGGTGTCCAGGGACCAAGGTCACGCCCAGAGCCCCGTGTGCCTCCACCTCCTCCTGGGGCCAGTGGTGTTTGTCACTGGGGCAACGTGCGGCTGTGCCCGGTGCCGGCAGTGCTGGGGTGACATTCATGCCCTGTGAGCTGTGACGCCTCTGCAGGCAGAGGACAGCACCACCCTAACTGGTGACAGTGATGGGGGGGCTGTCACCTGTCTGAGCATTCAAGGGGGTGTTGTGTACCCATCCTGCAGTTTGGAGGGAGGGCTCATGGGGAAGGTATGAGGTGAGGTGGTGTCCCTGGCTTACACTGTTGAGTTGGGGGGGCTAGCTCCTGTCCTCACACCTGGAAAGTGAGGCACTCTGTGTGTGTGTGTGTGTGTGTGTGTGTGTGTGTGTGTGTGTGAGAGAGAGAGAGAGAGAGAGAGAGAGAGAGAGAGAGAGAGAGAGAGAGAGAGAGACTGTGCATCTTGTATCTCCTTAGTGGGAGTGGAGGTGTCTGCTTGTATGTTAGTTACACCACTGTGAGAGTGACAACCTGTGTTCCTGTCTCATCCCGTCTGGGGGTGTCAGATATGCCCCTCATGCTTTTGGGGGAGTGAGAGATTGTGTGCTTAGCTCCTCCTGTTAGGAGGTAGGTCCCGACTCACATGCTGTCGCTCTGACTGCTGGCCATGAGTGAGATGTCACCATGTGCCCCTCATGCTGTTGTGGGGAGTGACACGTGTGATTATCTCATGCTGCTGGGAGATTGTCAGCAACTTGGGAACTTGTCTCTCACCCTAAAGAAACAACGTGTTGCCCGGTGGTATGGGACTGACAAGTTGGCAGGCTCTCCTGCAGACCACAAGCCCCCAAAGGCCTGGTCAGAGGCTGTCTCCAAGGCACAGGGACAAGGGTGGGTTGAGGGTGTCTCAGTCCCTCATGACCTACCTGCTGCCCAGGTGCCAGCCCTTGGGAGTGTTCCCCAGGAGGCAAGACCCAGTGTTTTTCAGACAGCACGGAAAAGGGCCTCTGGGGCTGGGGCAGGTGTGACTGGGGAGGTTTGCGTGAGGGGTTGTTCGCATGCAGGCCTGGGGGACCCTATTCCCTGCCTCTTCTGCCCCTGAAACTGTTAAACTAATTAAGGCTGTGGAGCCGCAGGATTAATCGGGGCAGCTCGGCGCGGGCCGGGAGCTCAGGTAGTCGATTAGTGCGCCGCGGAGGATATTGGATTTCTGAACCGCAAGTCAGCACTATTCGGGCCTGTTATCTCTCCGAGGCTCGAGGGTCAGGAGGCGGGAGGCTCGGGCACGCTGGCCGCCCCCGCCTGGCCAGCTCCTGAGTGTCCACTCCCCCTGCCCACACACCGCCTCTGGCCTGTCTGCCCGGTGTACCCACCCACCCCCAGCCCTCCTGCTGCCCATCCTCTCCCAGCCTGCCTCTCTGGCACACCCTGGCCCTGTGCCTCATTCTCCCTCTGAACTCTCCAGTCCCCTGCTCTCCTTTCCTCCCACCCCCCAGGCTGGCATCCCCAGTACCACTGTGCTTCTCAGTCCCTCCTGGCCCTGCTCACACTCTGTGCCTCACTGACCTGCTCCTCAGCCCCTGGCCTCCCCCCCATCTCTGTGTCCTCCCCTATCCTTATCCCCCACTCTCTCTCCAGCCTTTCCCGTCCCCAGTCTGTGTGTGTGTGTGTGTGTGTGTCTGTGTGCGCGCGCCTGCTTATCTCTCACAGGTTCTGTCTGCCTCTCTCCTGTCTGTCTGTCTCTCTCCCTCTGCCTGTGTACTCTTTCCTTCTCTCCTTCTTGCTTTTCCTCTCTCCCTCTGGCGCTCAATCTCTCTCCCTCTCTGTCTTTTCCTCTCTCTCTCTTGTGTGGTCTCGGCTGGTGTCTGCAACCAGAACAAATCTCCCCCAGCCAACACCCCCTGAACAAGGAGGCCAGAGCAGCTAATGGGAAACATGTGATTCTGCCTTGCGCCTGGAGCACCGTGAAGGGAGCCTTAGTCCCAGCTCAGCCCCTGCTCCCCCCTTGCCGCATTCCCCCCACCTCACTGTCCCCCACCTCCCATGTCGCCCCCAGCCTGTGTGGGCACGATTGCCAGTTCCCTGGTCATTTACATTTCAAGAGGGGGGGAAGCTGACGTTTATCAGTTGGGGAGTATCAGGTTGTGAAGGGGCTAAGAGCAGCTTTGCTCCCTAGGTCCCCCAGCCCCCAGGGCCAGGCAGACCCCATGCAGACTCCCCCCCATCACCACCATATGTAGGAGAACAGGGCCAAGATGAGCTGAGCTGTGGGGGCCTAGATGGGGGACAGCAACCCCCACTGGAGGGTTCTGGGGCCACCCAGATTTCATTTTTTCCACCCTCCTGGGCCTCTGGGGAGCTGCAGAGGTGGGGGCTCCTCGAGGGCTTGGGAGCTGCTGGGCCGCATTTCTGTGCCCACCCAACCACGGGGAAAGGGGGGGACGGATCAGAGGAGGGAGGCTCTGGCAGGTTGGAATTCTCCTCTGCCTGTGGATAAATTGTCCCTAATCCAGGCTTGGGGAGTTGTCTGGCTCCTACAGAGAGAGAGGAGAGAGAGAGATAGGGAGAGGGGGAGGGAAGCAGGCATACAAACACAGTGACACAGACACACTGTCTCACAAAGGGTCTCTCACATGCACACGCACGCACACACACTGACGAGTCACACAAAGGTAGCACACAAATGCTGCAGCCCCGTTGTGCTGACAGGCACACAGAGCCTCGCACACGTGTTGACACTGGCGCGGGTATGCAGGGATACAGCACAAGGACCCACTGACAGGCACACAATGGCCAAGTCACACAATACACACACGGGTGGACACACACAAGCACATACTGACCCACGGTGAAACTGACCCACAGGGACACCACGACCCTGAAAACCCAGAGAAGGCAGCGAGGTGGGGGGAGCAGTACTGATCCACAGTGACACCAGTGCCTGGAGTCATAGTCCTTGAGATCGGGAACCTGCAGGGACAGCAAGGATCAGACACACAAGCACACACACGCACACACCCAGAGAGCTGTGAGGCAGGCAAGAGTGGGTTTTGCTCCTGACACAGTGAGATGCAGAGAACCAGGCAGAGTATGTCCTCAGACATGCACACTCAGGCCTTGACACAATGGGGCACACGTCGGCACACGCTTCCCACTCCGTGTCGTCACAGCCATTCAAGCGCAGGCTCAGCTGGACACACATACAAAGCAGAATAGACCCAGGTGCTCACACCCACCCATACGTGTAACTGGACACCCAACCTGGCTGCACATCAGCCTCACGCACACAGCTGAGCACACAGCTCACAGCCCACACGTGTACACTCTTAAGCACACACGCACCATGCCGAGAAGCCTACAGAAGACCAAAGAGACCCTGGAACCCGCATACAGGTGTGTTTACTCAGACAGCCGCACAGGCACAGGCTGTTTTATGGGCAGGATCTCTGACAGACATACAAATTCCCAGGCAACCAGAACCTGCAAGCAGTCCGTGAGGCCTGCTTCCCAGACCCCCTCTGGGCTCCAGTACAGACCTCAGGGAGGCAGACAAATGGGCCGGAAGCAGGGGGGTAGAGAGGAGGGCCATGGTTATTAAAGAAAACAAGAGACATAACCAGTTGCTGATGGAGAAGGGTAAACGCCAGCTGCATATACACCCCTCACGGAAATTTCATTCACCATCGCTGAACAGCAATGCTCACACCTGCGTTTTCAATAAGCTCGTAACATTTACTGTTTCCCCAGAGTGTTCCTCCCCACTTATAAGATCCTCCCATTTTACAGATGACAAAACTGAGAACTAGAGACACTCACTGATTTGCCTAAGATCACACAGTTAGGGTTGAACCGAGGACTAGCTGACGCCAAGGCCAAGTTCTTCCTGCCAGTGTGTGCATATGTTCACGTGCCTACGCGTGCAAGGGCACTGCTTCCCGATGGGAATCTGGAGTTCTGAGAGATAGGCTTACAGCACCCTATGAAATGAGGTCAGAGCAGTTTCATTGCGTGCAGGAGTGGACCCCATCTGGGACAGCCTCTGCTCCTGTGTCCCTCTGCACCCCGTCCCCTGGCTAACTCCTCCTGTGCCCATGCTTATACCTGGGGTGCTGTGTTTGCTTCCACAGATGGGAGCTTGCCTGCCTGTCTACCTATTGGCCTGGACCCCAGAGCCCGCCCAGCTGAGCGTGTGCAGAGAGCCCCGGGTACGGGGTGACTCTCGGGCTGCTGCGGAGACCATCCTGGAGTCACTGGTGAAGACAGACCTTTCCTGCTAAGCCCAGCCTGTCTGCAGAGCCTGCTCAGGTAACCGTCTAGAGGGAAGCCAGGTCTGTGCCTGGGCCGCCCTTTGCAAGTGGGGTTCAGAAGGACTTACTGCCCAGTCCCAACAGGGACCCCTCCCACCTTAGGCCAAAAGGAGGCCCTTTATAGAATCAGAACATACTAACCCAGTTTACTCAAACCACCCATTATCCAGCCTCAGGAAACTGAGGCCCATGTATAGACAGCAAGTCCTCTGGAGTCCTGCCTCCTATTCAGGGAACTCTTCCCTGCACCTTGATCACCTGAGAGAGCTGGAAAGAGAAAGGGGCTGTGATCGTGACCAGAATTCAGGGCAGAGGTAGAAACCAAGAGTACCTAAAGAAGGCAGCTGACCCTTCTACTCGGGTCTATGGAAGAAAGCTAGGAAGCCAAGGTGAGGTGCTGCGAGGGCCTGGGTAGTCCAGGTATGGACTGCGCTCCAGGTATGAGCCCGGGCCAGGGCAGGGGCAGGACCTGTCTCCCTGCTCCTGGTCCAGATTAGCCCACCCAAGCTCAAGAGCCACAGAGGCCAGGTGGGGCTGCCCTGCCCTGCCCTGCCCTGCCCTGCCCTGCAGAGACAACTCCCTAAACTGACACACAAGCCTCCAGGCTCCAGGAAGCTCCCTAGAGCCCAGCCTGCCTGGGGGACCCCACCCAACTTCCAAAAGAGCATTCCTGGGCACTGAGGTCTGGGGTGGGGCCTGGGATCGGAAGGGTAGGGAGGTAGGGTATAGGAGGACCAGGGCTGTGTGTACCCCACTGTGAGCATACAGGGCGTCTGATATGCGAGCGCTCAGGCTGTGTGCAGGCAGGCATGCACAGGCTCTGTTAGGTGTGCAGCGTGCTGCCTACCAGAGTTACATAAGTGGACTGGGCTGGGGCCACTTTCCAGGGCTGTGTGTAGCCACAGAGGAGTGAGTATGCAGGATTCGGGATGTGCCCTCAGCTTGTGTTAGAAAGCCTGGAGTGTTGTGTGTGCCACACTGCATAGTGTGTATGTGCAGGATGCTAGTGTACACTGCAGAGGTGTGTAGGCAAGAGCCTGAACACGCCGGGGTGATGTGTGGGTACACTGGGATAGTGTGGTGTGTGTTGTGCACAGGATCTCGTCCTGTGTCACTGGGCAAGGGTGTGTTTGGGGTGCACAGGGGGGTGGGGATGTGCACGTGGCTCGTTTGTGCTTTGGAGGTGGGCTGGCCAAGGCTTCAGCCGAGCTGGGCTCAGCAGTGCCCAGCCTTGTGGCCAAATCGCTGAAGTCACTTCCTTTCCAGCAGCAACTTTCCAGGAGGAGGAGTTCTTCAAACCTGGGCGGGAGGGGGGGACGGAACAAGGAGCTCTCAGGGGAAAGAGGTGGGCGGGGGTGAGAGGCGTGGGGAGGGCCTGGTGGGGCTGGAGGAGGGGAGTCCTCTGGGAGACAGAAGGAAAGACAAGGACAGGAGTCTGGAAGGGCCAAGGGCAGGAGGGGATGGGGGTGGAGCAGGGCGGGAAGCACAGTCCCTGGGTGACCTCGGAGGGAGGAAGGGAGGGCCTCCCGGCAGGGTGACCCTCAGGTTCAGCCAGAACTGGTGTCGGTGCCCGCACACCTGGCACCCAGGGCAGGGGGCTGGCAGGGGGCGGGTCTAGGGCAGAACTGCTTGCCAGGTGCCCCACTCTGGGCAGGAAGGGGGTGGGCGAGGGCCGCACAAAGGCGCTCTGTGTGGCTGGGGGTAGGGTGGGGTGGGTAGTACTGTGCTGTAGGGGGGCCCCTGATGGCTCCAGGGGGCGGGGCGGGGCTTGCTCCCCTTGGGGGCATCGGCGGCTCTGAGGGGACACCTAGTGGCAAGGGAGGGTAGTGCATCGGATGACTGAGGTGGGAGGGGGTGAGGAAGCTGGAAGGGGTAGGTTAGAAGTCAAAAATTAGAACTGGTGGTTGGGACTGGGACAGTTGGAGGAGACAGCAGGGGAGGAGACTGATTCTCGGGTCAGTGAGGAAGTTGGTTTAGTGGAACCCAACAAACCTAAATTCAGACTCCCAGCTCCTCCATGTCGTTGCTGTTTGTCCTTAAGAGCATAACTCAACCTCTCTGTGCCTCCACTTAAATGCCAAACAGGTGAAAACTGCCATTGTTTTTCTCATTGCTGTTTTTGTTGTGATTTTGGACAGGCGTCAGGTTGGAAAGTCTTCAGGTACAGAGTGGGTGGAAGGGGGCTGAAAAGAAGGCGAATCAGGAGGGTGATGAGTTGTTGCTGAGGGGGCAGATCCTGGGAGGTGAAGCCCTGGGAAGGGAGGGAAGGTGATAGGGGAGGTCTCAGAGCAGCAGTAATAGCCCCTTTGATGCAGTGTTTTCCATTTGAGGACATCCCTGGGCCTGGCTGGGAGGGAAATGGGGTGTGTGTGTGTGTGTGTGTGTGTGTTGGTGGTGGGGAGGAGTATGTAGGCTGGAGAGAGGGTCATGAGGAGGGAAATGGGGTGTGTGTGAGTGTGTGTGTGTGTGTGTGTGTGTGTGTGTGTTGGTGGGGGGGAGGAGTATGTAGGCTGGAGAGAGGGTCATGAGGCCGGAAGTGAGCACTGGGGCTGGCAGCCCAGCTCCCCTGGGGAGTCTGTGGGTGGGGGAGGGGGAGGCAGACTGGGGAAGGGGTGGGGTGGTCACAGCCACAGCGGGGGTGGGTGGGGCTGGGGACTCAAGGATGTGGGCTGGCGCTTCCCGGCACTGTGCACAGCAGGTTGGGCCCCCCCCAGCCCCCACCCAGCCTGCTGGTGTCCCTCTGGGCAGGCCCAGACACACTGACCCAGAAGCAGACAGAGGGACAGAAGGACCCTTTCGGTTTTGTTCACAGACCAGGCCTAGGTGGTACTCTTGGGAGGGGGCCAAGAGAATGGCTGCTGGGTGTGGTGGGGAGGGGAGCCAGCTGCTTCCCTCAGATCCTGGAGCCTGTGAGAGAGCAGTGGACAGAGTCGGGAGGTCTGGCGGGAGGGCATGCCCAAAGGTCTTCATGGGTGGGTGGAACAGAAGCAACCACTGGAGAGGTTTTGCTCTTCTGCCAAGATCATACCCTCAGGCCCAAGTGGGAGGTTTCCAGAGCAGGAGGTTTGGTGAGCTCCACCCTCCGTCAGGGGGGAATGGTGGCCTCTGGTTGGCATCTCAAGGAGGGTATCAGGAGCCACGAGGTCAGCCGTATGTGTTGAAAATCGGACTTGGAGAGTCCAGCTTGAGTCCCTTCCCTCCTTCGTGACCATGGACACACGTGGACACACGGTCCTTCCTACAAGAGCAAGGGTGAAATTCTTGAAGCAGAGAGAGCCTGGCCTGGGAGGGGCAAGTCCACATTCTCCGCTGGGCCTCGGGGAGAGCAGAGCCCTGAGTGAGCAAGTTGGCAGGAGCAGCTTAGGCCTGGGAGCTGCTGAAAGGGAAGGGACAGTGGTCAGAGGATGTTCTGCCTGGGTGAGCAGCGGAACGGCCCTCCCCTCCCCTTTTGTGGCCTCAGGCAAAGTCTCTTTCTCTCCTCAGTCTCAGTTTCCTCGTCTGTAAAATGGGAGGAGCACAAGGTGGCTCTAGAACAGTGTATCCGCTGGTTGAGCTGATTAAAAATACAGATTCCCAGATGTCCCTTCAGATGTATGAGTCAGACTCCCCTGGATGAGGGCCTGGGTATCTGGAATGTTCCAAAGCTCCCCCAGGCCCAGGCTTTGGAAGCCAATGGGTTAGATGATTTTAAGTTTCCTCCCAGCCTTAAATTAGACCACAGCTCTAGAAGGAGCATTTTCAGGAGTGACTGAAGGGGAGTTGCAGGAGCTGAGAGGGGAAAAAGGCTTTGGACTTACAGCAGAAGTCGGAATCCTGCCACTCCGTGACTTCAAGCAAGTTACACAAGCACTCTGAGCCTGTTTCCGCAGTAACAGGGATAGGAAGCCCTGCCTCTCACTTTGCTGCACAGACCCCATGGGTCATCCAGTGGAGGTGCTCTGTGGATTGCAAATTACTGCCCACCAGAGGGGACTGGAGGAGTGTCCCTTTTAACACCATCCAGTCCCAGAGTCAGCTCTGCAGTCTTCATTGGGGTGCCAGCACTGGGCAATATGGCAGCCATTGAGAGTCTTTGTGTGTCTTGGGGGGCAGGGTAGATCTTGAGAATCGGATCAGGACCAAACACTGGACACTGATTGGGGTCAGTCTTTTTTTTTTTAAGATCTATCTGACTGTCTGTCTGTCTGTCTATCTGTCTGTCTATTTATAGAAGAGCTGGGGTATAGGCCAGAGGTGTAAGGGATAAGAGGATTCATCAGAGACAGCGTGAGGAGCAGAACAAGCAGATCTACTGAAATATACTACAAAGGAGAGCAGCAGGCGAGATAGGAGAGGTCTGCTGCACTATATGTGGGTTAGTTCTCTGGCTGGGGTTCGAACTCAGGCAATAGTGCTGATAGGGTGATAGCACTGAGACTTAATCTAACTGGGGTCAGTCTTAAAGCCCCTCGCAGTGCTCAAGGCCCATGTAGCTTCCCTGTTCCCCAAGATCTTAGCTCCTGGGGATCAACCAGAGCCCCAAGTCCCCAGGCTCCCTTCAGAGTCTGACATGCCTGGATCTAAATCCCAGCTCTGCCCTGACCAGCTCAGGGAGTTAGTCAGTAAATATTTATGTAGCATCCATAGCCCAGGCCCTGGGGTCAGGGTGTAAACAAGACAGCCTGCCCCTGAAAAACCCGCACTCCAGAGAGGGGAGACACTGAATAGCCAGCCATACAGATAATTGATTCTAATTCGGATAAATACTGTGAAGGTGAAATAGAGAGGACTCCGAGTCCTCTCTATTTCAGCAAGGGTCAGTGCAAGCCCAGAGGTGGGATAGTGGGTGCCTTTCTGATAAAGGTGAAAGAGCCATCAGAGAATGTCCCTTGCCACATTCTTCTCCTGCGCCTTAACCTTCTTGGGTCACATTTTGGGGTCAGGAGATAGCGTTGTGGGAAAAGGTGGGTCTGAGTGTTCTGTGTGCCTCCTCCAATCATTCTTGCATTCATCCAATAAGAATTTTGTAAGCTCACATGCTAATTTGGGTGTTGGGCGATATGCACAGAAGTAAACAGGGTAGGCGTTCTTGCCTTCATGGTACTTCCCACCTTCTGGTTGGACTGTTTCCTCATCTGTAAAATTGAGGTGCTGATCATGTGGACCTCAGGTTTAAAAGGAGGTTAGATGAGATAATCCAGTGTTCAGCAACAAAGAAAGTTACTCCAAGTATGAGCTTTTATTGTTGACTCCCTGGTGCAATTGTTAGACCTCTGACCTCCAGCACTCTTCACTTTTTCTTAGCAGCTCTAGTAATTAAATCACGGATCATTATCTGATCGATGTTGGTCTGCCTCCTTGTGCAAGGTAGGCATGCCATAAATAATGAATGTGAATGAATGATATTGCTGCTTCTCTGAGCTTCCATTTCTTCATCTGCAAAATGGGGTCATTAATAGCCCCTACCTCGCAGGATTGGTATGAAGAATTAAATGAAACGATACCTGGACAACTTCCAGCCCAGTGCCTGGTGCGCAGTAGGTGCTCACTAAACCTGAGCTGCGATGGTCCTTTCCAGGCGCTGTCCAAGCCCCCCGGCCTGGGCTCAGGCCGAAGTCACTCCACGGCACCCCCAGCGGACCGCTAGCAACCGGCAGAGCCCCCAGGCCCGGGGGCCCTCGCTCTCCCAGGTTAGCGGGGTGTGTGTGCTGGAGGGGTGGCTACATGGAGAAGACTGGGCAGATGGGCAGTGGTTGGGCTGCAGGCCCCAGACATCCGTATCTCCTGTCTTACTGCCCACAGAGCTCTCCAGTGTGACAGCCCAGGCGGCAGAGCCGAGGGTGAGTGGCTGGGGTTCTCCTGGAGTCCAGGGGGTGAGACTGAGAAGGAAGAGGCCATGCCCTTGTTGGGACTTCCTGGCCCTCTGGCAGGGCCTGACCCTCTCAAGTTTGATCTGGGGTGGCCACCCCACCCTGCTGATGGACTTCCCTCTCTAAAGCAGATGTCCCATTCTCCCTGAGCCCATAGCCAAGGTCTAGAATGGGGTGAGCTCTCTGTAAGTGGAACTGGGACCCTTGAGGGGTTCATTGTGCATGTGGTGGTTTGGGAAAGGCGGAGGGGGGGAGACTTTGGGCCGGGGTACAGGGGCTCATTGAGGAAATGGAAAGCTATGGAGGACTTGGGTGATCAGTGAAGGACCTTCTGTCCTGCCCAGCAGGTCCTGGTCCCGGCTTCTCGCACCCTCATGTCAGCCCCGGCCCCGCCCGGCGGCCCGCGGAGGACAAGGTCAGGATGCGTGTGAAGCCCCAGGGCCTGGTGGTGACTTCCAGTGCCGTGTGCAGCTCTCCTGACTACCTCCGGGAGCCCAAGTACTACCCCGGCAGCCCCCCCACCCCCCGACCTTTGCTTCCCACCCGGCCCCCTGCCAGCCCACCTGACAAGGCCTTCGCCCACACCTTCTCCGAGAACCCACGCCCACCCCCACGCCGGGACCCCAGCACCCGGCGCCCACCAGTCCTTGCCAAGGGGGACGATCCACTGCCCCCTAGGGCAGCCCGGCCCGTGTCTCAGGCCCGCTGCCCCACACCCGCCGCAGACGGCAGCAACTCCCGGCGTCGCTGGGACAACGGGCGGGTGAACCTGCGTCCAGTGGTGCAGCTGATTGACATCATGAAGGACCTGACGCGGCTCTCCCAGGACCTGCAGCACAGCGGCGTGCACCTGGACTGTGGGGGTCTCCGGCTCAGCCGCCCGCCTGCCCCTCCTCCTGGTGACCTTCAGTACAGCTTCTTCTCCTCCCCCAGCCTGGCCAACAGCATCCGCAGCCCTGAGGAGCGGGCCACCCCCCACACCAAGTCCGAGCGGCCCAGCCACCCCCTCTATGAGCCTGAGCCTGAGCCTAGGGACAGTCCCCAGCCAGGCCAAGGCCATAGTCCTGGAGCCACAGCCGCAGCCACTGGTCTGCCCCCAGAGCCTGAGCCAGATGGCCCTGATTACTCGGAACTTGCTGATGCTGACATCCTTAGTGAGCTGGCCTCCCTTACTTGCCCTGAGGCCCAGATCCTGGAAGCCCAGGCCCTTGAGCCTCCGTCGCCTGAGCCGGAGCCTCAGCTTCTGGACGCCCAGCCCCGCTTCCTGGACCCACAGACCCTTGAGCCACTTGGGGAAGCTCTGGAGCTGCCGCCCCTGCAGCCTCTTGCTGATCCTCTGGGGCTGCCAGGTCTGGCCCTCCAGGCCCTGGATACCCTGCCTGACTCCCTGGAGTCGCAGCTGCTTGACCCTCAGGCACTTGATCCCCTACCCAAGCTGCTTGACGTCTCTGGCCGCCGTCTGGAGCCCCAGCAGCCCCTGGGGCCCTGCCCACTGGCCGAGCCATTGCGCCTGGACTTATGCTCACCCCATGGCCCCACTGGGCCCGAGGGTCACCCCAAGTACGCCTTGCGGCGCACTGATAGGCCAAAGATCCTATGTCGCCGGCGAAAAGCCGGACGGGGGCGCAAGGCCGATGCCGGACCTGAGGGCCGCCTGCTGCCCCTGCCTCTGCCCACAGGGCTGGCAGCTGCCCTGGCCGAGCCCCCACCACCGCCGCCGCCACCACCCCCTGCCCTGCCAGGCCCAGGCCCAGTCCCAGAGCTGGAGCCAGAATCTTCCCAGACCCCAGTAGTCCCCACCCGCAAAGGCAAATGCCGGGGTGTCCGGCGCATGGTGGTAAAGATGGCCAAGATCCCTGTATCGCTGGGGCGGCGGAACAAGACCACATACAAGGTGTCGTCCTTGAGTAGCAGCCTGAGCGTGGAGGGCAAGGAGCTGGGCCTGCGGGTATCAGCAGAACCCACCCCGCTGCTGAAAATGAAGAACAATGGACGGAACGTAGTGGTGGTCTTCCCGCCTGGTGAGATGCCCATTATTCTCAAGCGTAAGCGGGGCCGTCCTCCTAAGAATCTGCTGCTGGGTCCTGGCAAGCCCAAGGAGCCGGCCGTGGTGGCGGCTGAGGCGGCCACCGTGGCAGCGGCCACCATGGCCATGCCCGAGGTGAAGAAACGGCGGCGGCGGAAGCAGAAGCTGGCATCCCCCCAGCCATCTTACGCAGCAGACGCCAATGACAGCAAGGCCGAGTACTCCGACGTCCTGGCCAAGCTGGCCTTCCTGAACCGCCAGAGTCAATGTGCCGGGCGGTGCTCACCGCCCCGCTGCTGGACACCCAGCGAGCCCGAGTCAGTGCACCAGGCCCCCGACACCCAGAGCATCTCCCACTTCCTGCACCGCGTGCAGGGCTTCCGGCGGCGTGGTGGCAAAGCAGGCGGTTTCGGTGGCCGGGGCGGGGGCCATGCAGCCAAGGCAGCCCGGTGCTCCTTCAGTGACTTCTTCGAGGGCATCGGCAAGAAAAAGAAGGTGGTGGCGGTGGCAGCTGCTGGGATCGGGGGCCCCGGCCTCACCGAGTTGGGGCATCCACGCAAACGGGGCCGGGGGGAGGTGGATGCTGTGACTGGGAAGCCCAAACGCAAGAGGCGATCCCGCAAGAACGGGACTCTGTTCCCTGAGCAGGTGCCCAGCGGCCCAGGCTTTGGGGAGGCAGGTGCTGAGTGGGCTGGGGACAAGGGTGGTGGTTGGGCCCCTCACCATGGGCACCCAGGCGGGCAGGCGGGCCGAAACTGTGGGTTCCAGGGGACCGAGGCCCGGGCTTTTGCCTCCACTGGGCTAGAGAGTGGGACTTCGGGCCGGGGCAGCTACTACAGCACAGGCACCCCTGCGGGCCAGACTGAGCTCAGCCAGGAACGCCAAAACCTCTTCACCGGCTATTTTCGCTCACTGCTCGATTCGGATGACTCCTCCGACCTCTTGGACTTTGCCCTCTCAGCCTCTCGCCCAGAATCCCGGAAGGCATCAGGCACCTACGCGGGGCCCCCAACCAGCACCCTGCCCGCCCAGCGGGGCCTGGCCACCTTCCCCAGCCGGGGAGCCAAGGCCAGCCCAGTGGCAGTGGGCAGTGGTGGGACTGGGACAGACCCCTCCTTCCAGCCTGTTCTGCCCGCTCGCCAGACCTTCCCACCCGGCCGGGCGACGAGCTATGGGATAACCCCAGCCACGTCAGACTGCCGAGCAGCCGAGACCTTCCCGAAGCTGGCTCCCCCTCCTTCAGCTGTGGCCCGCTCACCCACCACCCACCCGCCCGCCAACACCTACCCCCCCCAGTACAGTGGCTATGGGGCCGGACAGAGTGTATTCGCCCCAGCTAAGCCCTTTACGGGCCAGGACTGTGCTAATAACAAAGACTGCAGTTTTGCCTACGGCAGCGGCAACAGCCTGCCTGCCTCACCCAGCAGCGCCCACAGTGCCGGATATGCCCCACCGCCTAGCGGTGGCCCCTGCCTGCCACCAAGCAAGGCCTCCTTCTTCAACAGCTCTGAGGGGGCCCCTTTCTCTGGTTCAGTCCCCACACCCCTACGCTGTGACAGCCGGGCTAGCACCGTCTCACCCGGCGGCTACATGGTGCCCAAGGGCACCACCGCCTCTGCCACCTCTGCCTCCGCTGCATCCTCTTCCTCCTCCTCCTTCCAGCCCTCACCTGAGAACTGTCGGCAATTTGTGGGGGCTTCTCAGTGGCCTTTCCGGCAGGGCTATGGAGGCCTGGACTGGGCCTCAGAAGCCTTCAGTCAGCTCTACAATCCCGGGTTCGACTGCCACGTCAGTGAGCCCAACGTGATCCTGGACATCTCCAACTACACGCCACAGAAGGTGAAGCAGCAGACGGCGGTGTCTGAGACCTTCTCCGAGTCATCCTCCGACAGCACCCAGTTCAATCAGCCGGTCGGTGGCGGTTTTAGGCGTGCCAACAGCGAGGCCTCCAGCAGCGAGGGCCAGTCGAGCCTGTCCAGCCTGGAGAAATTGATGATGGACTGGAATGAGGCATCGTCCGCCCCGGGCTACAACTGGAACCAGAGTGTCCTCTTCCAGAGCAGCTCCAAGCCCGGCCGCGGACGGCGGAAGAAGGTGGACCTATTTGAGGCCTCACATCTGGGCTTCCCATCATCTGCCTCGGCCACGGCCTCAGGCTACCCATCTAAGCGGAGCACTGGACCCCGGCAGCCACGGGGTGGACGAGGTGGTGGGGCCTGCTCAGCCAAGAAGGAGCGGGGTGGTGCAGCGGCCAAAGCCAAGTTCATCCCCAAACCACAACCGGTCAACCCGCTGTTCCAGGACAGCCCCGACCTCGGCTTGGACTACTATAGCGGAGACAGCAGCATGTCACCACTGCCCTCACAGTCGAGGGCCTTTGGCGTGGGTGAGCGAGACCCCTGTGACTTCATGGGACCCTACTCCATGAACCCGTCCACGCCATCCGACGGCACCTTCGGCCAAGGTTTCCACTGCGATTCGCCCAGTCTGGGCGCCCCTGAGCTAGACGGCAAGCATTTCCCACCACTGGCCCACCCACCCACAGTGTTTGATACTGGCCTGCAGAAGGCATACTCACCCACCTGCTCACCCACACTGGGCTTCAAAGAAGAGCTACGGCCGCCACCCACAAAGCTGGCTGCCTGTGAGCCCCTCAAGCACGGGCTCCAGGGGGCTAGTCTGGGCCATGCGGCTGCAGCGCAGGCTCACCTGAGCTGCCGGGACCTGCCGCTGGGCCAGCCCCACTATGACTCTCCCAGCTGCAAGGGTACGGCGTATTGGTACCCACCGGGCTCAGCTGCCCGTAGCCCGCCCTATGAAGGCAAGGTGGGTACAGGGCTGCTGGCTGACTTCCTGGGCAGGACGGAGGCCGCGTGCCTCAGTGCCCCACACCTGGCTAGCCCACCGGCCACGCCCAAGGCCGACAAGGAGCCACTGGAGATGGCCCGGCCACCCGGCCCACCCCGTGGCCCCGCTGCAGCCGCTGCTGGCTATGGCTGCCCGCTCCTTAGTGACTTGACCCTGTCCCCGGTGCCGAGGGACTCGCTGCTGCCCCTGCAGGATACTGCCTACAGGTATCCAGGCTTTATGCCGCAGGCGCATCCCGGCCTTGGTGGGGGCCCCAAGAGCGGCTTCCTGGGGCCCATGGCGGAACCTCACCCTGAGGACACATTCACCGTCACCTCCCTGTAGTGCCAACTGAAGTGCCGACTGGACCTCGAGGTTTTGTTCCTGGGTGAGTGTGGGGATGGGGGTGCAGTGGGCAGAGACTGGGGGTGTTGGGAGAGGGTTGGGAGGATGAGGACATTAGCACTTGGGCAAGGGGAAGAGGTACAGTGATGAGCAGGAAGGATTTAAGAAAAGATTGGGAACCTGGCAGCAGGAGTTGGAATTCAAGAAAGAGTCTGGGATTAGCTGTTGGGGACAGTTTTAGGGAGCAGATGGATACTTGGGTGGGGAACCCAACATAGGGCTTGAACATGGAGTGAGTGGGGCATGTTGAAATGACTGGAGGACCGTAGGCTGAATGGGGCCATCTGGTTTGGTTCATCAAGTATTTATTTAATCCTCCATGCTAGGTCATGGGCAGGCACCTTACTGAGTTCCAGGAAACTGTCCACTTGCTCTCTCGCAAGGGAAGGCATTCGCATCACCCTGTGCAAGACAGGTGAAGGGAGAAGCACATTGTACAACTACCTGCCAGGGCCTTTGCAGGGTACAAACCTTGCTAGGCTCCCTTCTCTCTCCAGGAGCTTCCATTTAATCCAAGATGTAGTGTGATGTAGTGTGACGAGGGCCAGGCTAAGAGTGTGGCCAGAATGTCTCGGGTTACAGATCCTACAAAGGCTTTATAAAACAACCCGAAGTATCCTTTCCTCGTCTCCTAGTTACCCCCCTAAAGGTTATTTTTCAACATCTTTGACCTGAGATAGGCTCTGAGTTGTTAGGGGTCAGGATCCAGAGTGGTGAACGGGTGTTGGGATCCCACTGTGTCAGGGACTCTGCAGCCCATTGGCCTGTCCCCAGCAGGATGTTTCCTGCCTCTAAAAAGCCAAATGCTTTTCCAAGAGGTCAGTGAAGTAAGATTAGATATTTAGATACTGTTTTTATTAGGCATAGTGACCTTGTTAGTAGGAGTCATGATTTTGGTCTTCTCAGAACTTCGTGTTTATAAAATGGAAAATAAAAGAGGGAGAATGCCCCTAAGAGGGTGAACAGGAGCGAGGGTTGGTGGAATCATTTTTTTGAAAAACAACCTTTTTCAAAACTATAGCCACAACTGGTCCACCAAATCCCCCTTTTGGATCACAGACTTGTCAAAAAACTGGCCCAGACAATAGTAGATGGTGCTGGCGTGGTCTGGGGGCCTGATCCCTCATTCTGCCCCTCTGCTGCTGCTGCAGCCTCCTGGGAGTGTCTCTTCCTGGAGAAGGATAGCAAGGCTCTCTTGGAAAGCCCCGTCAGTCTGTGCTTCAGGGGAGGCCATTCGAGGCCAGGGTGACTCAGGGTCCTAAAGTCATGTCAGTGGGAACTTATTACCCCTTCTCTGCCTGACTCCAGGTCCCCTGGGGCCTGAAGGTGGCAAAGGGCAGCACGTGGGAGTCAGGAGACTGGGGGAGGACCATTCTCCAATTAGCTACCAACTTGCTACATGCCCTTGACCAGGCTTTTACACACACACACGCGTGCACACACACACACACACACACACACACACACCACACACCACCTCACCTCTGTTTCCCTGTCTGTTCAAGGAAATTAACTTTGATAATCTCTTGGGTTCTTGCAACCCTGCATGGCATAGACAATGGACCAAACTTTTTTTTTGGCAGCATATTTTTCTTCCTAGTGAAGCCAAGCCAAGATTAAAATGGCCTTCCATTCCCTGTGCGTCTCACTGCAAGCAGCAGAGCTGCAGATCTGAAGCAGGCCAGGGAGAAGCTGCTTAGGGTTTAAAATGTCAAACTCTTGATCCTCCTCACTGGAGGGGAGATGTCTCGTGGATAATCCAGAAATGTGAAATAATCCAAAAACCCTTCCTCCCAGGCTCTGGGTGGGAAAATAAACGCTATGGGGGCTGGGCGCTTGGGCAGGTCACAGCTCACTGAGATACATAATGGAACCGCCCAGTGAGGCCTGAACGCAGGAGGAACTGGGATGCCATCCAGCCCTACACTCTGGCCCTGCTTCCTGCTCAGAGCTAGGAGTTGGCAGCGCTATCCTCAAACTGATGCATTCAGTTGTTCCAGAGACATCTGTCCAGCACCCATTATGTGCCAGGCTTTGGGGGCACCACAGTGAATACCACAGTGAGGTCCTGGTCCTCAGGGGGCTTCCAGTTTAGAGGGAAAGACAACAAATAGAATGACAGGAAGCACTTAACCAAAGGAAGGACTGTGCGAGAGAGGAAAGCGAGCTGGCCGGAGAGCCTGTAGTAGGCTCGCCAGAACCTGCAGCTGATGCCTGAAGGATGAGGGGGCGTCAGCTAGACAGGGAGTGGGAAGAGCATTCTGGGCAGAGGGAACAGCAGTGGGTAAAGCTGGGAGGCAGGAAATTGCTCGGCTTTGACCTTGGACCGAGAACTCATGGAAGCACTAAAGATTAGGTCTCAGCTGGCAGGCAAGGGTCACAGCAGGCAGGCAGCTGCAGTAGACAGGCAAGCAGTGGGGACGGCATGGGGAGGGCTGTCTCCCCTCTGTCTCTGAGATATAAGGTGGCACAAGCTCCCTCCTCCTGTGCCAGGATTGTGGGGATTATAGGGAAGGAGATGGGGAGGGAGAAGAGTCATCAGAGGGAGTGTCTTCACCAGCAGAGAGAGGACAGTGACACACTCATTCAACAGCAGACAGCACTTTTGACGCCTGGCATGGGAGAAGCAGTAATTCAGCTCAGCCTCACATCTTGAGCCCATCCATGCCCATCCCAGTGCCAGGCACAGGGGAGACAGAGCGGACATGGCGCCTGTCCTCGGAGTTCAGCATCCACCCCAGGAAGCTAAAACAAGTACACAAAGAACCTACAATCTCTCAGTGAAAAGTGGCAGGTGCCCAGGGCCAGGGAGAAATGAGGCTTGTGCCCCAGGAAGGTGGGTGTCGGGTCAGAAGGCATCTCTCTGCCACTATGATAAGAAAAGCCACATGTGTTTGTGCTGGGCGCTTCACACAGCGCTCCACGCAGACTTGCACAGCGGCTGGGAGAGGGGGAAGGTCTGCCCTCCCCCGTCAGAGAGTCGAGGAAACAGGTGTTGCCGTGAGCCTTGTCCAGAGAGCCATAGTTAATAACTGGCAGAGCCAGGATTTGAACCCACTACTGCCCGCCAAGTGCTGGGTACTCTTATGCAGCTCCCTCTCTACCCCTCACCCCTGATTCCGCATCCACAAAACGATGCGTTGGTTGAACGTGCCCTGCAACTCTTTCTGGGTCTGATGTATTAAGTGGATTTTGAGGTTCTGTGAAAGAAGCTGCTTTTGAGCTCGACCTTGAAGAACAGGCAAGATTTGAAGACTGGGGGAAGGGCATTCCAGGCAGAGGGAACTGCGGACAAGGGCAGGTCACATCCCAATGTGAATTAGAAGAAGATACCCAGAGGAGCAGGAGTGGGGATTGGGACGGCCCAACTGGCTTCAGCGCTGCGGCTGATGGGACTGAGAGAGAAGGGGAGGAGGTGGGAGGCCCCTGCACCTGGGCAGACATCTTCTCTGGTCCCTGAGATGAACTGCAGAGCCAGACAGACTGGCTCCCCCTTGCAAACTCATGGCCAGAGATCAGCACTGCCAGGCCCTAGAGACTGAGGTGGGAGGGGAAGAGGGGCCTTCCGAGGTGTTCAGGAATCTCTAGCACCCCTCTCTTCCCTGTTCCCCCTCAGGCCTGGACCTGAGGCCAAGAGAAATGTCACAGGTCCTCCAAGGTTACACCAGCTGGGGCTTGACCAGAGCAGGAAGCAGTTTCCAAGGCCACCATCCAGCCGGGATCAGCAGGCATGTCCAGACCTGGGCCAGGTCCTGGCTGCTCTGGGCTTTGTCTCTCCATGCCTTGAAACCTCAAGAGGTCACTTGATCTCTCCCCTGGCTCTGAGCGGGAGGCCCTCACATCAGGGGTCAGCCAGTCCTGCCTCTCCTGGGCTCCTCTTCCCATTCACGGAGGCCATCCGCCCTCCACTTCTATCTCTTGCCTTTACCACAGCCATTTTTAGGCCAGGCCTTCTTGTTCTAAGCCCTCATTTCCTGGAAATCTAATCTCTCTGTGAAACTTGCCCTCTCATGCTCCTCCTCTCCCATCTCTCCACAACCTTGCAGACCCGGAAGAACCCAAGGGAACATGGCCCTGAAACTGGAGGGTGGTGGCTAGAGCGTGCCTGTGGGCGTACATGGGCGGCTGTACAGAGCCCAGCCCACCCCTGACCAGCTGTGACCTGGCAGTCCTGTCACCTCGCTGTGTTCTTGTGAGAATGAAAAGAGATTACCCGTGAAGCACTTCACCCGGTCCCCGGCACATAGTGGGTGATAAATGGGGGGTGAATACCTCCCCACAGACGGAATCTGGGGCCGCGGACCCTTTGCTCCCTGCTCGGGGCTCCGCAGCCAGCCCTCCTTTCCTGCTCTCCCTGTTCCTTCCCTAGGAAGGACCTTGTATTCTAGGGGGGACCTGGGGTCTTTGGCAGGGTGCAATACCACCTAGTTGTTTGCCTTAGTAACTGGGCTGAGTCCTCCTTGGGGAACCCAGAGAAAAGGTAAGTCACCGGCCCCAACCCCAAGGAACTTGAAGCCTGATGGGTGGGCGGGAGGACCCAGACTCCTAGATGGCCTGGGTCAGATAGAAGGCCTCTCCACTCCAGTCCTCTCTCCCCGTGCAGATAATCTGAAAAAGATTTCCTCGTGCCTCCCTAGATCCCCCCCAGCCCCACCCCCCATCCATACAGATTTGCCATCTTTGTCCTTGTAACTTTTGCTGCCATGGTTCCCTCTGTTTGTGCCGGAGGACAGAGGAAGTGAGTTAACTCTGTTCAACACATAAGAAGCAGCCGTCTGCCGGGGGCCAAGCATTGCATTTGGTGCTGATGGCACCACTGAGCAAGACAAGTACCCTGCCCTCTCGGAGTCTGCAGGCTGCAAATGGGTGTTTCTTAAGAGCCTCTATGTGGGCATCACTCACCAGGGGAGGGAAAGAAAGGCTTCCTGGAGGCAGAAATGGGTCTCAGACAGATTTGAGGCTTCAGAAGCTTAGCCCCAGGTCAGCATAACCAGCACCTGCCAAGTCTCTGCCCCAGCACCTGCCCACCCTCTCTCCCCGAATCCATTCCCTTCACTGCAGCCACCAAAGTGCTGTTCTTCAGCATTTTGCTTGCATGACGTCTGGACGTGCCCCCCGCCAATACTTACAGGGTGAAATGATTAAAACATCTCTCTAGTGATTCCATCGCTAACACCTTTTGCATCCTCCCTTCTAAAGAACAAAGGTCCAGCTTCTTAGCCTGGTATTCTGGGTGTTCAAGGCTTCCTTTTCAGCCCTGACCTCCCTCTCACATATATATATATATACCTTTCCGCCCCTTCGACGGTAAAATCAGAAGGGAGCTTTCCTGGAGAAGCTCTCTGCCCATTGTGCCCCATGCCTTTGCTCTGGCTGTTCCCTGGCCTGGGTTGCCCTTCTTACCCACCATCCATCTCCCACCTGTCAGTTTCTATCTTTCACTCAGATATCACCTCCTCCAAGAAGCATTCCAGGATCCTTCCCAGGCCCAGTTAATCTCTAGCCCTGTATGCATCCGTGACAGCCCTTCCTGGGAATGTCCTCTTCACCACGCCATCAGCTCCTTTAGGCTGGTTACTCATCTCTGTGTGCTGTCCCCTCCCTCCCCAGTGTCTCATCACGCCTGGAACATTTCAGGAGTCAGGGCTGGTGTTTTCCCTTGAGTCAAAGAAGAGCATGTAGATTAGGGAGCACTGTAAGAGGAAAGGTTAAGCACAGGGGGCTGGGTAAGAGGTGATTTCTCCCTCCCCACCACTGTCATGAAGATAGGCCCCTGAAAATGGGGCGGAACGTATATAAATAAAGCAGTTCAAGCTCTAAGGGCTAACTGGGCTTTTGAAGTTCTCCAAGCACAGCCCCTCCCAGTTCTCGGGGGAGAGGGACCCCAAGGACACAGCCCCCCAGGCAGGAAGCACAGAAGGTAGGGCCCACAGGGGCCCTCAGGGATTGCCCGCTTCCTCTGTTTTTGCTGGTTTCTCAGCTCCCACTTCAGTCACGTGCCCGACGCACACCTCAGTAATGCCTGTCTTCACCCAGCATCTCCGATCAGTAGATTGGGGTCTTTGAGTGTTTGGGGGTGCCTCCTCCCAGGAAGGCTAAGGCATGTGAGGCTTTGGAGGGGGAGACATACAAGGTTGGTGGGTGACCATGGCTGTGAAAGCTCCCCCACGAGCCTCCCCCTCTGTGCCCACCCCTGAGAGAGGTGGGAGGAGACCTCTAAAGAGGGTCTGAGTGGCTAAACTAGAATTTAAGAAACGTTCTAGTCACTGGTGGACACAGGTTTTGAAAACCTCCTCTGGAGTCAGAGGGGAGGCCATACACACACCCCTCACCCCTCAGTCTCCCTATCCCCAGTGATCTCCAGCTCTACCCTACCTGAGAGTATCTCCATCTGTCAGGTCTGGTCTGGGCCCAGCCAACCATGTCCTCTCCACATTTAAGAGATGCACAGGCAGGACTTCGCTTGAAAATGTCCAAGTTGCTGGATCTGCCAGTGGGCGTCTGTGCTTTGCCTCTGAACCCTTGTCTTTGGGGGTACCATCCAGTGCTTGAAGGTCTCCCCTTAACCTGTTCAATCCCTGCACTTTACATAGAAACTGAAGCCCAGAGAGGGAAAGGACTTGCCCTGCATCACTCAGCAGATCAGCCCAATTCTCGTGCGTTCTTCCCCTTTGCCTTGTTTGCTGTGGAGACGCCCTTCTGGAGAGCAGAGACTAGAAGGCTCATGGCGGGCAGTTAGTGGGCGTGACTAAATGCCTGCTGGTTGCTGAGATGAATAATCAGATACGTGCCCCTTTTGGTGGGGGGAGCAGCGCCGGACAACCTGATTTATACATGGTCTGCAGCACTTTGAATCCCTGCTCAGCTATCCCTCGGTTCCCCCAGCGCCTGCTTCCGGAGACCACTTAGTGCCCTGGCCCCTCAGATGGTAAAGCCGCTGGAGCGGAGGACTCAGCAGACTGTGATCTGCAGTCGTTCATTATGGAGTCACTAAAAGGTTAAATCTCATGAACAGTGGCCGGTGTCCTGGGGCGCGAGGCGCATGCTGGCATTGGGGATACAGAGGTACCACACACAGGTCTCTGCCCTGGAGGAGTGTGGAAGGGAATGACAAGTGCACCGGTCGCTATGGTAACCCGGTGGGCTAAGGAGGCATCTGGGAGCTGTGCAAGACCTGAGCTGGACCTTGACATACTGCTCGGACTTAGGCCGGTCATCGCTCTGCCCTTCGCCCGGCACATGTTCCTGACCCCAGCGTGCGCTGGGCGCGGCGCTCGGCAGTGAGCTGAAGAGCTTCAGTCCCTCCCGCCAAGGCTGGTCTAGGTGCTCCCTTAGTGCTCTGGGCTTTCCTTGGCACAGCCCCCATCTCCCTGCATTGTCACTGCCTGGTTTGGGGTCTGCGCTGCTTCCCCCAGTGGCTCTGTAAGACCCTCGAGGGTGGGGACCAGATCTATCCTGATGTCTGCTTTGTCTCCGGTGCCCTGTCTCCAGTGCCAGTGAGGTCAGGGGCCCCCACAGCAGCAGCATTACCCCTTCTGGGGAGCTCAAGAACCTCCCATGTTGGTGCTCTCTCCCTCCCCCCACCGACCCCCAGATTCTGGCCAAGTCATGAAAGCTGGGAAGGGCGGTGGGAGGAGGAAGGTGAGCCGGCGTGGCTTAGCTGAGACTGAGAAAGCCTCCCCGCTGCCTGGCCACCGGCACCACGGGAATGGTTCTGGCAGGATCTGCCTGCTGGGCTGAGATCACCATGGAGACCTGGCTTGGAGAGGGTCACTGGCAGTGGCTAAGGGCTGGAGGGGGCGGGGGCGACAGGGATTTGTGCAGAGGCTCCCAGCCGACCCAGGGCCCTTGGGGGAATTAGGGGAGGCTGGGGGGGTTCAGTGTAATCGCCTGTTAAGTGGCTTGGAGCAGCCCTCCCAAATTTGCACCTCACTTGTCACCCCAACAGAGGTTCCTTAGCTTGGCAACTGTCCTACAGATAGATACTCCCAGCCCTCCAGCTGAAATAGTTACCCCAGATACAATAGCCCTGCTGCTCATGGATACCCCTCTTCTCTACAGCTGTTCTTGTTTGTCTCCCTAACTAGAGAGCTGAGATCCATCCCAACAGCAACCCCCCTACAAAAGCTGCTTTTCTACCAGTTACCCCAGCTGTCACCCTCACAGGCATGCCTCTTACCCCTACAGCCAATTCGCCATCCTTCCTCACCTGCAGGAGACCTGACAGCCTAACAGACTTGCAGCCCCTACCCGCTCTGCGTGCCTCCGCTGCCACCCACTCTGATAACTGTGATGGGGTGCTGCCCCTGCTTGGCAGGCGCCCACCTGGTTCCCCTGGCCCTTGGGGGGGGTCCTGGCAAGTCCAGCCTCAGGACAAAAGTCTTCCCTGGGGCTGACTGCCCAGCAGACAGCAGCTGAGGCTGAGCAGAATTTCAATGTGGCCCTGTTGGGAAGGCAAGCCAAGAAAGAGGACAAGAGAGAAGAAGCTGCTTTCTGCTGCTGCCTGGTTCCTGTGGAGGGGGCAGGAGGAGGCAGGGGTTTGCTGAGGCTTTTTAGGAGGTAGTTTTAGCACCCCCAACCCTGACCTTTAATTCTGTGGGATGTGCACTCATAAAGGGTGGGAGACTTGAACTTCAGAGCTGAGAAGATAGACAGAACTCTGAGAGGGCCAGGCCAGTGACTGGAGAATGACCAAGCCCATCCCTGTCCATCCGGGCACCTTCCCATTAACCCCAGTAAAGTCAAAGGTCTGGATAGGGCAGTCAGGCCCCTGCAAATTAGTACCGTCTAGAGAAAGGGGTTCTTTAGACTCCAGTTTCTGGTGATTGTAGACATTGAGGACTTGGGGGTTCAGGAAGGCAGTGGATACAGCCAAACTGGTGATAATGTGTTAGACAGGCAGGTTCTTTATTCAGACAGGCTTCTTTCTTACCTCACCAAAGGACCAGAGTGGATTGATGGGGACTGGGAAGAGGGTGGATTCAGAAGAAAGAAAGCAACATTTAACACCTATGCTGTGCTGCGGCCCTGTTTTCCCCATGTGCGCCATTCCTCAGAGCAGCCTAGTTTGGAGGAATTATTAAACTTGCTGTTACTTGAGGAAACTGAGGCTGGGAGAGCCCAACTGGCCCTGGCCCCAGGAAAATAACAAAGTAGCTGATAAAATTTTGCATCTGTGCCAGGCTGAATCAGCCTTAAATATTGCGTCCTCCCAACAAACCTGAGGTAGTCCATTACCCTTTTTCAGATGAGTAAATTGAGACTTACCACTTGCCCAAGGATACAGAGCTAGTAAATGGTGGCGCTGACATTTGAGTGCAGCTGTATCTACCTTGAGAGCCCAAGTTCTTCACAAATCTCACTGCTTAGAATCCCTACTTCTCATCCAGGTCAAGTGTGGGCCTTGGGCACTCATCTAGTTTATAGGTGGAAAAATTGAGCTCATAAGAGGTCTGAGAAAAACTGGAAAACTGAGCCAGAAGTGGTCTGTGATGGGGGCTGCTTGGAGTTATTTATTTATGCATACAAGAGCTGGGGTACAGGCCAGAGGTGCAGGGGAGATTCACCAGAGACAGAGTGGGGAGCAGAGCAGGTGCATCTACTGAAATACACTGCTGAGGGGAGCAGCAGGCAAGTCAGGAGAGGTCTGCTGCGCCATGTGGATCAGCTCCCTGGCTGGGGATTGAACTCCATAGGTTGTGTCTTAGCCCCTTGCGCCACCAGGGAGTCCCGACTGCCTGGAGTTTACTGGGTGATGTTCCTTCTCCCAGAGCCCTGGCAGAAACTGAATGGGAGCCCCATCCTTACCTTCTCTCCCCCACCGACTCTCAACTCCGTGTCTGTGTGCCTGCAGCTGATTTCTCCTGCCTTTTCTGTTTCTTTGCAGCTTTCAGAAAACCAACGCCAAGACCCCTCCCAGCGTCCACATCGTCTTCTGGCAGGAGCACCTGCCCCTCTGCCTCCAGCCCCACCCCACCTGCACCCCTGCAGCCCCTCTCCCCCTCTCCCCCTCCCTGCCCATCTCCTCCACGCAGAAGCCGAAGGTGAGCCCTTTCTGCACAAAACCAGCAATTGTAAATACTTTTTAAAAATGTATAAAACTTAAAAACAAAACACAGTTTTAGAAAAAGACAAAAAAAAAGAGAGAGAGAGAGCGCGCGTGTGCAAGAGGTTGCGAGCGGGGCCCCCGAGGTGTCCAGAGCCCCTGCAAGTATGCACTGAGAAATTTATCTACAGGTCGTTTGACAAAAATGAACAATATCCTATTTATTGTATATACTGTTTTATTATAAATCGTGGATTGTATATTGCATTCTGTAAACCTGCTGTGGTCCCGTGGTGTGCAAATTCGCATGGTGGGGGGGAGGGAGAAGAACCTCTTGCGGGAGCTTTTTTTTTTTTTTTTTTTTTTCCTTATTTTTCACTCTTTTGGGTTTTCTCTTCTGTTGTTGTTGTTGTTTTCTGTTGGCAGGACACACCCAAAGATCCAAGTTTGTATTAAAAAGAAATGAAAAAAAGCAAAAAAAAAAAAAAAAAACAACCTTGTGTCTCGTGAAAGGGTCTGATGAGGGGGGACGCAGTGGGAGGGACACAAATGGATTTTGGCACCAGCCACTGGCTCCCCAGAGGCGTCAAAGTAGCTCCGTGGGTGCCCTCCCTCGGATTCTCTCATTTGCCTGAGATCAGAGTTACTTTTGCCCTGAGTTTCCGGGGCCTCTGGACTCCCCAGTATGCACCCTAAGGCTTCCTGCGCCCAGCTCCATATGTTCTGTCGTAAGTCCTGGGAGTCTTCCTTTTAGCTCTTTGGTTGGGTCTCCCCTGGCTCCGAGACCCCTATTCTGCCCCAAGTCCCAGTCCCCCTTTCTCTGGGCCACCATTCTTTTGATAGTGCAGAGGTGCCTGTGTCTGCGACCCCTCTTCTGCCCCTAGGTTTCTCTGAGAAACCCCCATTATAGGTCAGCCTCTGGGTGCCCCTGACCCTTGGGCCCTACAATTCTCCTCTGCTTCAGGGACACGTGTCTTGAGATACTCTATCCTAAGTCCAAGAACCCTGTGGGACACCCCTAACTCTCTTTCCACAAGGATTATAGTATCTCCTGTTTGTATCTCCCATGTGCCTTAAGGCCTGGTCTCCTCTGGACACCCACTTTACCCCAACATACCTGTGTCTGCCTGTGTGAACGCAAGGGAATGGCTGGGCCAGTAACCCCAGTGTTTCTCTTCCCCTTTCCACCCTGCACCCCAAGTGCTACGTCTGTATTTCCTCCCAGCTTTTGTAAACTTTGAAAAAAGAAAACTCTTAATCCTGTGCCTATTTCTGGTGGACCTGGAAGGGCTGAGCTGTTTCACTCCCTGACCTTGGGGAGTTCTTGGCTGCCTTTGCCCACATAATGTCCACTTTGAGTTGTCTGGTCTTTAGCAAGCAGCTTTGCCCAGAGACCCGTTTTAGGTTAAAGCCCTGCCAAATGTGGCTTCTCGCTGTCCCTCCCTGACCCAACTATCAAGACCCAGGCCTTTGGAGAATCAATGCTCAGTCTGAAGGGGAGACAGACCCCTACTTTCTGGGCATCCCTGTCTAAAAGAGGAGGCTGGAGCATTCAGACAGGGGCAGGTGGCAGTCCCTAAAACTGCAGCCTCTGCTGGACGAGAAGCCTCACCCACCTGCCAAGCCTGCTTCATGTGTCCCCAAGACTCAGATGGAGACCCTGCCCCTTCCTCCGGTAAGGTGGCAGCCATCAAATGCTGCGCTCAAGCTGAGAATCCAGCACAGTGCTGGAAAGTAGGAGTGGGAGAGAGTTGGGGAGAGGGTTCCCACAGGGGAAAGCATTCCAAGAGCCAAGGCTCAGGTGCTAGGCAGAAGCATGGAGTTCCTGGGGGAGGAAGAAGCTGGCCCAAAGGCCCAGATGTATAAGGACAGCAGTGGTGGGAGCCTCACGTAGTCAGGTCTGTTTGAAGTAGACATTATGTGTGGGGAGAGGGTAGGGCTCTGGCAAGGTCACTCTGGGGTGGGGTGGAGGCTCATTAGAGGAGTGGGTGAAGCCAGGAGGTGCTGGTTTTCAGCCCCAAGAATCGCCTGCAGGGAGGAAATGAGGGTTAGTGGTTGCTGAGGAAGCAGAAGAGACTGGGGTAGGCTGTCCAGGTGGGGCAGGCCCGGCAGATGGTACAACTGGTGAGGGGGGCTGAGGACTCGGTGTGCAGAGGAGGTTTCAGTGAAGGAAGGGGGCCATGGGGGTAAGTATTTAGTGGAAGGGATCAGGGCTGGGGTTCTACATCAAGGGCCCCCCCAGGTGGGGAGGACAGGCTGTGAAGGGTTGGGTGCCCAGGAATTGGGGCGGAGGTAAAGAGAGACCCAGGAAGGAAATGAAAGTTTAGGGAGGTGAGTATAGGCCAACAAGGAGGTTCATTGACTTGAGGGCTTTGTAGGAGGGATGCAGACTCACTGAAAAGAGGGGGCACAGGGAAAGGGAAGGATGGGAACCCAGGGATGGACTTGTGGTTCTGGCATGCCAGGGAGGCTTGGTGAGAACTGGGGCTCGTTGAAAGGTGAAGGGAGGGGTCAGCAAGAAAATGGGAGCTGGAAGGGAGGGGAATCCAGGGTTCTGTGGCTAAGGAAGGGGTGAGGAGACTTGAAGTGTACTTTGGAGAACAGACTCAGGGGAGATCTGTCAGGGCCAAGGGCGCAGTCTGGGATGGGAGGTCCTCTGAGCCCTGGGACCCTGGGGCATCTGGAGGAAGGGCAGCAGAGACCCTGCCCAGGTAGATGGGGTGAGGGCGGAGGTCACCCTATTTTGATCTGTTCTTTTTGGCTATTAGGGCCTTGCTACAGCCACATTCCCATACCTGAGCCCAGAAAGCATCAAGCCACCTGGCTCCTAGATATTTGGGTATTGCCACTGTTTATTAAACACTCCCCTGAGGGTTATTCCTTAAACAATCCTAGAAATACAGAGAAAGATAACTCATTTACAGATGAGAAGACAGGTTCAGAGAGGCAAAGCCAAGATTTGTCCAGGATCACTTGGGAGGTGGCCCAGAGTCTGATTCTAAGTCCTTGCTGCTCCGTAACAACTTAAAGGGGGGAAATCCTGCCTATCAAGACCTGTCCCCAAATGAATCAATTGTGTCACATTAAAAAAAATTAAATGGGGCCTCCCCGGTGGCGCAACAGTTGAGCGCCGGGTTGCGAGGCTGCCCACAGCCTCTGCAGTGCCGGTTCGATCCCCGGCTGCTCCCCGGCCACCAGAGGAGGGTCCCACATGGCGCGCAGGCCTCTCCTGCCGCCCGCTGCTCCCCTCAGCAGTGTGCTTCGGTCCTTCTGCCTGCTCTGCTCCCCGCTCTGGCTCTGGTGAATTCTCTCACCCTCCCGCGCTTCTGACTGTACCCAGTGCTTGTATAAATAAATAAATAAATAAATAAACAAATAACTAAATCTTAAAAAAAAAAAAAAAATGGTGAAAATAAGAATAGAAAATAGTTGCATAACACTATGTGCCAGGTATTGTTCTAAACACTTTACGTACATATTGACTCTTTCCGTCTCCACAGCAAGCCTGTGAAGCTAATTGTAAGGATTATTAACTCCATTTCACAAACAGGGAACTCAAGGGTAGAAGGGTCATTTACAAAGACCACCGAGGAAATGGTGATGGGTGATGGGAAGGTTCAAACCCAAGCAATCTGGTTCCAGAGTGAGCTTTACTATACCGTTCAAAGTGAAAATCTACTCCAACCCCAGCCCTGGTAATAACCTCCGTGTCAACATTTTCAAGTCCTTTCACCTACATCAGTAGTTCTCAGCCCAGAGATTCTGGGGTAAGGCGTGGGGATAAGGAATTTTAAAAGGTCCCCAGGTGGTGCTAATGTGCAGCCAAAGTTGAGAAGCACTAACTAGCTCCTGTGCCCTGGGACTGGAACCCTGCCGCCCAAGCGCACATACCTCCATTTAATGTGTTGTCCTAGGCGTGCGCAGATGCCTTCTGTGTGTGCACTGTTGCAGCCATTTGTGTTTTTCATTTTGAAAGGCTGTGGGTTCTCCAAGTGACTTTCGAAACCTTGTGTGAATACGTTCAAGTACTACTTAAGCACCTACAAGGTTCCAGACTTTTTTTTTTAAAGATGTATTTATTTATGCATACAAGAACTGGGGTACAGGCCAGAGATGCAGGGGGTAAAAGGATCCACCAGAGACAGAGTGGGGAACAGAGTGAAATACACTGCTGAGAGGAGCAGCGGGGAGACAGGAGAGGTCTGCCTTGCCATGTGGGTTTCTCCCTCCCTGGCTGGCCTGGGATCGAACTTGTGCTACAGAGGCTATGGCTTGCTTCACAGTGCAGTGCTTAACCCCTTGCACCACCAGGGAGGCCCAAATTTCCAGACATTTGAGGATACAACGGTGACCAAGACAGATGGGGTCCCTGCCTTTTCCTGTATCATCTGATAGAACTGACAGATTTGGATGGACCTGTGTCTTTCCCCATGGGTGGGAGGGCTTTGGCACCCCTGGGGCTGCTGAGGGGTGCAGGGTTCTGGGAGAATTCAGGAAGGGGAGACTGGCTGGGAGGTTCTTCTGGCCCCATGTGCAGAGGTGGTAAAGAGAGGAGACCCAGGGTGTGTTTGAACGAGCGTGACTATGCGCCACATGTGTGAAGAGGTGCATGTTCTGGTCCCATGAAGATGTGGACAATGGTGTGGAGGAAGAGGTGATGTGGGAGGACTGCGGGCAAGCTCGGCATCAGCCCAAACAAACAGCACACAGAAGGTGGCGCTTGTGGGCACACACGTGCGCTTGCACACGTGCACGCGCACACGGCCAGTTGCAAGGAGGAGACTGGTTACAGACTCCCAGGGCCAGAACTCTGGGTATGTGGGGGAGGCACAGCTGGAGCTGGAAACTCTAGAGTGGGAGGGAGGGCCCCCGAGGGAGGGAGGGAGGCTGGGGAGCCACATCCTTGATCTCTGGTCTGTTTCAGCAGTTCCGGACTTGGTGCTCTGGGTCTCTGTGTGACTCTAGGTCTCCCTCTCTCTAATGTCCGGATAATCTTGGCATCTCTGTCTCTCAACTCTGGGTCTTGGGCTCTGAAGCTGATCACATGACTCCGGGTCACCACCTCCCCAGCCTGCTTGGCTCTC